TCCACCCCCGCCCCCCCTCCCCATCTCCAATCCAGCTTCTCTGATGTCTCGCCCCCCTCCTTCCCTCCCTCCTCCACCAAACGTAGTCATTCTTTCAATAGAGGCCCGCCCCCACACTCTTTCACCCTGTCTCCCTCCCCCCATCCCCCCCTTTCTGTCATGGGCTCGTAGCCCATGGGTATAGGTATCAAGGATACTGCTTTGACCCAGAAGCCTGGGATGTGCTGGATGATAAGGTCTCTGCGCTCCAGGAAGGGTCTCCGCATCTGGATGAACTTGCGCTTGAGACGGAGGAAGGCCTTGCCTGCCTTGATGTTCACCGCCTCCAGGTCTAGCTGAATGCTTTCTAGCGCCTGCAGGACGTACTGTATCTTCTCGGGATTCACCTCTCTGTTTTGCTTCTTCACCTTCCTCTGCTTCCTCCTCCTCCTCCTTCTCTTCTTCCTCACATTCTCCTTCACCTCCTCCTCATCATCTTCTACTATAATGATGGCCTCTTCCTTCCCCTGCAGACCGGCTAACACCTGGTACTCCCGTCCCCCTATGCTACAGGTATCTATGGCCTCTCCGCTAAAGCCGCTCGGCTCAGGCTCGGGCTCCGGCTCCGGCTCGGTAACCTGAATGTCGATCTCCAGGCTTCCCCCCGCCACCTCCTCAGGAGAGAATGTTTCCAGGCTCTCCGCGGGAGGGGGCGCCTCCCCATACCCAGACTCGAATTCGGGATCCCAGTAGGAACACCCGGCACCCAGGGTGAAGTACGCGCGCACTCCCCCCTCCTCCAGAATGACATAGGGGGGCGGCGGGGGCAGAGTGGGGCCCAATCCCACCCCCCTCATGTCAGCCAGCACCTGTGCCGCCTCCGTTTCCTCCCGGAGCCTCGGGCGCTGCTCCGGTGGAGGCAGGGGCAGTCGCATGAGCGGCGGCGGCGGCGGAGGTGGCGGCGGCGGCGGCGCGTCATCCTGAGAGGGCTCCGAGCTGCTGAGGCGGCGGGCCTTGGCAGGAGGCCCCTCGTCCGGGCGGTCCATGCTGACTGCGCTGAGGGCACCGAGCTCGCCCCTTCCCCTCTCAGCCAGGCCGCTGCTGCTAGTCAGTCACCCCTGAAGCGAGACGCCGCGCCTGCACACCACCCGCTCCGCGCGCCGCTCCGCTCCGCTCTGCGCTCCCTCCCACGGAGCCTGTCCTATTCCCTCCGCGCCAACTGCTCGGGTCCCGCCCCTCGCTGACGTCAAGGGCCTATTCTGCCTCGCCATTGGCTGTCAGCTGCAGGGGCGGCACTTACGTTTCCAAGACCACTGCCCGCTCTCACGCAATCTGCTTGCCAACACCCCACCTCATCACTTTCCCATTGGCTCCCCTCAACTCTGCCAATCATGGAGCTGACGCCCCCGCGCGACCTGAGGGAAAGCTGAGGGGCAATTGGCTGAGAGAAAAGCTTGGGGAAGAAGCCCCTCTCCCTCACCCTTTCGCGTTTTATCCAATGGGAAAAGTACCAGTGGTTTTTTTTTTTTTTTTATTGAATCAGAGGGTATGGGGGGAGGGGGAGATAAATGGCGATAGGAGACTTGGCTTGCGGTAGTGAACGCCACACATTATACAGATGTATTATAAAACCGTACCCCTGAAACCGATGTAATTTTATTCATCAATGTTACCAGTGGTTCTTAAGACCAAAAAATCAAAACAAAAAAAACGAAGGCAGGCGCAGAGCACGACGTGCTCAAATCAAATTGGAGAGCCTCGCTGTCGTTCATCCATCCCCCCTCCTCCGCTTCCCTCCCCTCCTTTTCCCTGCTGCAACTACGCACTTCTTAAATCTGCCTCGTCTCCAGCCCCTGCCCCCAGCTTTTGCCATGCAGCAGACACCAATGAGGCCCCTGGGGGCTCAGGTTGCTCTAACCCCGAGCCGGGACTTCAGTGGAGACCTAGGGACTTTGATTTGAGGCGAGGTTTTGACGTGGCGTTTTCCATCTCTGCAAAATGGCTCTAGAAATAATCACGCAAAAAAAAAAAAAGTAACCTCTATGCGTCACTAAAATGATGTGATTCAGTTCGAATGCTAGATTTTTCTAGGTCTTTCTCTTCATGTACTCAATACTTCTTCCCCTCCCTTCCTCTCCCTTTCCTCAGTGTAGACTGTTTTTAATTGTATTTGAAAAAAAATTTTTTGGCCAGATGGACAGGTCTCTGATGAGGCGTGGTGGGGTTCTGGCTCTGGTAAGGATTCAAATCAGGGGTCTATTCCTTCACTTTGTAACTCTGAGCTTCAGTTTCCTCTCCTCTAAATGAGGTGTCCTTAAAGAGAAGTGTAGGAAACTACCCATTGCAGCCTTGTTGTAGTAAAGAACTGGAAGCAACCTAGAGACCCAACTCCAGGGGAATGGCTAAGGAAAATGTGATATATGTGGATAAGATGACAACTAGAATGAATTAAATCTACATACAGCAACATGGCTGGATCTCTCAAAAACAGAATGTTGAGTGAAAAAAGAAACAGAACAAGATTTATAGTACAATACTGTTTATGTAAATTAAAACACATAACAATACCATATATTTTTTCACAGATACACATATATGTAAATAAACACATGAATGGTAGATTGGAAGGACATATGTTAAATACACGAGAGTGGGTGCCTATGTGGGAGGGGGGATGGGATCAGGGATGGCTGATGAAGGGGACAAAACAAAACAAAATAAAGACTAACAGGATTTCGCATGGATCAATGATGATATAGTTGTGCCAAGAACTGAGGAGTATGGTCACCTCAATTCTGTGCACCTGAGAGAATAAGTAAATAAATAATAATTGAGTGCCCAGGCAACAGTCTGGTTGGGTAGACTCCCAAGCTTGTGTTCCCTCCTGTGACATCCCTCCCTCTGAATTTAGGCAAAGCTTACCAAAGTGCCAGCTGCATAAAGTGGATCCTTCAGAAGATCTCCCATCCCAGATTTAGCAGGCCCTCCAGAAGCCATTACTTTGTGGGGGGGCATTTCCTAACCCCATCTGCTCTCCCCAAGTTGGATCCCTAATTCCCAGTCCCCATTCTCCATGGTGGTCCAGTTTCAGGAACACCTTGTTTGGGTTTTGGAGAAGAGACTGATTCAGGAAGTTGAAAGTGATACCTGGGGGCTCTGGGCTTTGGGAAGAGAATGGGGTTCTCAAGTATTCTGTCTGCCATGTTCAGAACCTGGGCCAACAGAGGAAGATCTGATGAGATGGGAGTCTCCCTCTTGCTACATGCATATGTACTTTTCAAGTTCTATCTCACCAGCCACTTTACTTCCTGCTGCAGGCACATACTGTAGCTTGTCTCCTCTCAGTTAGGTGCATACATGTATGTGTGTGTGCATGCCATATATGTCTCTACATACAGGCATTTACTCACGCATGTGTACCAGGCAGGGGTGCCTCCCCATACAAAGTCACACAAACACACTGTCTCACTCAATCATACTTCCCCACATGTGGTCATGCAGACAGGACACACAGACACACAGACGCACGCAGACAGACAGACACACACACACACACACAGTCAGAAAGAGAAAACATCCAATATAGCATTGTTCATTTCAGTTTTCCATTTACAAAATCCAATGGTGAATCCAGGCAGTTAGAAAAAAGAAATGGAGGAAAACCCTCCTGAATGTACCCTATTTACCCCACCCCCGTGGCCCCCCCACCCCACCCCCTGGAAAAGGCACCCCCATCACTATCACTGAGAGAACAGGTACCCTCCCACCCCCAGCCTCTCAGCCACTCTGGCCTGCCTTTCCAGGACAACTCCACAGCCAGGCTCATTAATGTCTCTCCTGCCTAGAGTGCCCTCCCCATTCTTCTGGGGTCAAGGCTTAGGACTAGGGTTTCAATAGGGAAGGAAAAGGGGGTGGATAAATACAGATCTGCCCTGCCCACAGAGAACCTGGGCAAGACCAGGCAAAGGAGTGCCAGCTTGGATCCCCAGTCCACAAGAACTGTCCTTGGTGTGAACCCAGAGTGGACTCTGCCCTGGGAGGGAAGCTTGGGATCACCCACCTGGGGAATCTGGCTACAGTCTGTTCCACTTTGGGAGGAGGTAAGGGTGGAGGGTGGCAAGTCGGGAGCTGAGGACCTGGATGACCAAGGGCTACCACGGAGGGGCTTGAGGGCCCTGAGGCTTGAGGAGGACGAAAAGAGGTCAGATAGGGATGGATTCAAATCCACAGTGCCTTGGAGCTTATCCATTATGAGATACCAAGCCCCCCCCCCCCCAATTTTCATCTTTGGGAGAGTAATGTGAACCCAGGAGACAATTCTGGGGCTGAATTCCGCTCTGATGCCAGGCTCTGGGATCCAGCTACTCTGGGGAGTTCAGCTCTCTCCCTATACTTCCCCGGGGGGTTGCTCCTGCCTGTATGGCATCCCCATCAGCCCTAGTGGAGCTGGAGTGGATTTCCATCCTTAGAAAGAAGAGTTGGGGGCTGGGGATCCAGGAGGCAGCTCAAGAGAATACAGTCAAGCTCACGTCTCTTCAGCTCCAGGCGTGCAGCTCACATCCTGATCTTCACTAGCCTGGGCCCATCCTGAGGGCCCTTCTCCCTCCCCTCCTGGCTTCTCAGATGCTCAAGAAACACTTGGGATGTCTGGACATGGGTAGCAAGAGGAGACTGGGCTTGGGACCAGAGTTAGCCTAAAACAACATTGCACACAACATAGCAATTAAACATCCCTGCTCCCTGGGGACCCTGCACCCCCTTTGGTCCCTCTTGTCAACAGATCAGTTTCCCCCTAAATATCCAGGCCTTGCTAGAGGACTTGGAAGGGGAGGGTGCATGGGAGCAGAGGGGGCCAGAAGAGCTCTGAAAGTCTATTTTACAGGACAAATTTCCCCATTCTAGACAGTGTCAGAAGGAGAGACATTAAAGCAAGAAAGCCTGACTCCTCAACTGATAGTAGAAAAACCTGCATTTTCACTTTTGTTTTCTTTTTCTGAATGAGAGAGAGAGAGAGAGAGAGAGAGAGAGAGAGAGAGAGAGAGAATGAGAGAGAGAGGAGAGAGATTGTAGAAGTGGAAAAGGAGGCAGCAGAGACAGGCCCTAGAACTAGAAACACCTCTTTCCCAGTCCCCCACCCCTGGGGAGGTGTTGGCAAAGGTGCCTAGATTCCGGGTGGTTTGAGGGGCTGGGGCTGGAGCTCAGAAAGAAAGGCTCCTGTATGGGGCCCTACCCCTCCCTTTCTGTTAGCCCCATCATAGTGGCCATGACCTTCTCCCTGTCTGTCTGCCTATCAGCCTGCTTCACATGACACAGTAGGGTTCTCTGGGGGCCGGGGCACCTCCTGTGCCCCAGCAGGGGGCGTGAGTCCTCAGGCACTTCTTGAGGTCCTTGTTGAGCAGGAAGCAGACGATCGGGTTGACGGCAGCCTGGGCGAAGCTCATCCAAACAGCAGTGGCCAGGTAACGGTGGGGGACAGCGCAGGCTTTAACAAACACTCGCCAGTAGCAGGCCACGATGTAAGGTGACCAGAGGAGCAGGAAGAGCAGTGTGATCGCGTAGAACATGCGGCCCAGCTGCTTTTCACCCTTGACCTCGTCCATGCCCAGCAGCCGCCGGCTGGCTGCATGCCCATTCTGCCGGATACCCAGCAGGGTTGGTGGCATGGGCCCACGGCCAAAGCCAGCGATCCAGTTGGCAGCAGCCTGGCCGGTGGCCCCAGGGCCATGGAATGTCCAGTTCTGGCTAATGGCTGGCACCATCTGCACTGGCTTCATCTTGCGGTGACGATACTCAAAGAGGAGCAGTTTGCCATAGACAGCATGTGTGGCTGCCATGAGCACAGCCAACATAAGCATGAAACCCAGCGTGTCATTGGCCTTGAAGTAACGATGCTCAAAGATGCACTGGTCCTCCTCACGGATAAACTTGTAGGTGCCCACGTCGAAGACGGGTGGGAAGGCCATGGCCACAGACAGGGTCCAGGCCATGCAGATGACGGCTGCACATGTCCAGAGTGTCATGCGTTTGGCATAGAAGCGGTGGTGGGCGATGGCCATGTAGCGGGTGACACTGATGCAGAACAGCATGAAGGCCGCATGGAAGCAAAAGAGCACAGCCATAAAGGCCACAATCTTGCAGCTGAGCGCACTGAAGGTCCATGAGGAGCCGTGGCGCACAGAAGCCAGCACAAAGGGAAAGCAGACGGCAGAGCGGATGCCGTCGGCCAGGCACAGGTCCAGGAGAAAGTAGTAAGGAGCCTTGTGCAGGGCACGCTCCTTGAGCACCAGCAGGGACAAGATGGCGTTGCCCGCCAGGCTCACGCACATGATCAGTCCCAGCAGCACCAGCTTGACATACGCCGATGCTGATGGTGGGGACAGAGCACCGCTCACCTCCTCGGGCTCTCCAGTGGTGTTGGCCATAATGAAGGGCAGGGGGTGCTCCCAACCCTATGGAGTCAGCCAGTCCGGTACTCGCTGGGCTCTGGGGGACTCCATCAGTTGTCCTGCTGGGCTGCGCCTGCAAATGGGGGTAGTGGGAGAGACACAGACATAGAGACAGAGAGGTGAGGGTAAGAGAGAGAGAGACAGAGAGGAAAAAACACACAGAGGTACAGAGAAGGAGTGAGAAAGGATAGACCAAAGAGATGGAAAATGGCAACAAAGATATAAATGGGTAAAAAATTGAGACAGAAATGGAGGGGATAAAAAGAGAGAGACAGAAAGGGGAAAAGAAGGTGAGAGATGGACAGAGAGGGAGAGGGACAGGGAGATAGGGGAGAGGAGGAGAGAGGGAGAAGGGGAGAGAGGGAAAAGAGGGAGGGAGAGAAACAAGACAGAGACAGGAAGAAACATGCAAAGAAAAAGTGAGGAAGAAAGAGAAAGGGCAGTGTTAGCGTGTCTGTGTAGCCACCTCCCCATGTCCCCACCCCTGCTTACTCCCTGGCTGGTGTCAGGCCCTGTCCCTGGCCCACTGCTGCTTCTACCCTGTCCTTGCTGAGTGAGGGCACTTCATATCTCTAGGTGTCCTTGGTTACCTGTTTGCTATGTTGATGGGTCTCTGGGGCAGGGATGTTGATGTGGCTCTTTTCCCTTTTTTAAAAAAACACAAACATTTTTATTGATTTCAGAGAGGAAGAGAGAGGGAGAGAGAGAAACATCAATGATGAGAGAGAATCATTGATCGGCTGCCTCCTGCATGCCCCACACTGGGCATCGAGCCAGCAACCCAGGTATGCACCCTGACCGGGAAGCAAACTGACCTGCTGGTTCATAGGTCCATGTTCAACCACTCAGCCATGCCAGCCAGGCTCTTCTCCCTTTTTTATTGCCATCCACATTGCAATGCAGCACACGCACACGCACACGCGCGCGCACACACACACACACGTGCACACATGGCTGAATCAAAAGTTTCACAGAACAGTACTGAGTCTATGTCTAATATACTCTCATTAGTTTCTACTCTATTTCATTCTTTTGGTTGTTTTTTTGTTCTTGTTAATACTGGTAGCCACTCATTAAATAGGTGTATTTATTCATGATCAGGAATGCGCTTGGCCTGCTTAAGGAGCAGTGGGAAAACCCAGTGTGGTTGGAATAGGGCAGGCGAGGGAGACAGTGATAGAAAGTAAGGTCGTAGAGGTGTCCAAGGCCAGGTCATGGAGCGCTGTGGGCAATGACGAGGACTTGGGTTTTTAGTTTAAGTAAGGCAGAGAGTGTGTGAATATAAAGATGTAGATATGCTTGTGTGTATTCCTTCATTGAAAAACCATTTATTGCCCTGGTTGGGTAGCTCAGTTGGTTAGAGCATCATCCCAATAGGTCAAGGTTGTGGGTTTGATTCCCAGTCACAGCACATACAAGAAGCAACCAATGAAGGCATACATAAGTGGAACAACAAATCTTTCTCTCTCTCTCTCTCTCTCTCTCTCTCTCTCTCTCATAAATAAAATATTTTTTTTAAAAAAAGAGAAACCATTTATTGAGTATCTATTGTGTGCCAGGCATGGTGGATGCAGCTGTGAACCAGAAAAGGATCCCTGCCCTTGTGGAGCTGACATTCTAGATAAAAAAGAAGATACATGGATGAAGTATAGTAGGTCAGATGATGATAAATTCCTACAAATAAAAAAGGAGGAGAGGGGGATAGGAAGTGTTGGGGAGGTGAGATGCAATTTTTGATGAGGTGGACAGGGAAGGTTTTATAGAGGTGTCATCTGAACAAAGATCCGAAGGAGGTGAGAGAGTTACTCATGTGGGTATCTGGGGGAAGAGAAGTCCAGGCAGAGGGAACAGCCAGAGCAAAGGCCCTGAGGTGGGACCACAGATGGTACGTTTGAAGAAGCACAGGAGGCCACTGTGGGTGGAACAGAGTAAGGGGCAAGTGATGTGAGGTGCCGTCACAAAGGTGGCAAGGCCAGATCATGTAGGCATGGTGGGAACTTTGACTTCTATTCTGAGTGAGGTGGGAGCCATAGGAGGGGCCGTGAGCAGAGGTCAGATATGATATGACTAGGGATTGAACGGGATCCTGCTTGCTGCTATGAGGAGCACAGACCATGAGGACAAGTGTGGAAGTTGGGAGCCTAGTTAGGAGGCTCCCGCAGTAATCTGGGTGAAAAATAAGAGCACCCCCGTGCCCTTTGCCTTGCTTTAGTTCTTTTTCCTAGAATTTATCTTTTTAAAAATATATTTTTATTGATTTCAGGGTGGGAGAGGGAGAGAGAGAGATAGAAACATCAATGATGAGAGAGAATCATTGATTGGTTGCCTCCTGCACACCCCCTGCTGGGGATCGAGCCCACAACCCAGGCATGTGCCCTGACCAGGAATCTAACAGGGACCTCTTGATGCCTAGGTCAATGCTCAACCACTGAGCCATGCTGGTCAGGCTAGAATTTATCTCTTTTAACACACTGTATTAATTTACTTAAAATTTTTATATGTTTTTATTAATTTCAGAGTGGAAGGGACAGAAATATAGAGGCATCAATGATAAGAGAGAATCATTGATCAGCGGCCTCCTGCACATCCCACACTGGGGATCGAGCCCGCAACTCAGGCATGTGCCCTGACCGGGAATCGAACTGTGACCTCCTGGTTCATAGGTTGATACTCAACCACTGAGCCATGCTGGCCGGGCTTAATTTACCTTTAAATTTTGCTTTATTGTCTGTCTCTCCCTATGAGAACAAAAGCTCCACAGGGCAGGGCTTATAGACTCACACACTCTCCAATTGGCTGAGGGACTAAATGGGCTGCTGGCTCAGGGAGGGCTGCTTTGGAAGCATCCAGGTAGGATTTGCTGAGAGAGCAGCCGATCAATGATTCTCTCTCATCATTGATGTTTCTATGTTTCTCTCCCTCTCCCACCCTGAAATCAATATAAATATATTTATTTTTAAAAAGAGATAAATTCTAGGAAAAGAACTAAAGCAGGACAGTGCATGAGTGGGAGGGCACAGACAATACTGGGCAGGAAACAGGTAGAATCCTGGTGTGTGCGGGCTGGGGCAGAGGGTGTGGGATGTGATCAGATAACAGGGAAGGTTCAAGAGGGAAGGTTACAAGGCAGACACTGGAAAAGATCAGAGTTACTTTTGAGGCTGGGATGAGCTTGAGGTTGGTGAAGGCGGGGCTTTAGTGGGTGTCTTTCTAACCCCTCCTCTCTCAGGAAAAAGTGTCCCATCTGCATTGTTTTCCAGCTCAATCCAACCTGGTCTGCCACAGCTAGCCGGGGCCAGGCTTTTTTGATGGCACCCGGAAGTCTCAGAACCAGTGCCAATAGGCCACAAGAAGGTGCTGGGGCAGGGACACAGGGGAAATGGGTTGACAGGTCCCTTTAAGTTGGCCCTCAAGGCCTGATAGTTCCCATAGAACTGTGGACCAGCCAACAGACAGCTGGCTATGTGTAAATGTGTACACACACACACACACACACACACCTACCTACCTTAGCCTTGAGAGGAGATAGGGTAGGAAGTTAAAGAGACAAAAATGGAGTGTAAGGGAGAGTCAAAGAGACACACGGAGTAACAGAGAAGAGAAAGAGATAGGAGCAGAGAGAGACAGACAGAGATAGAGGAAGGTGGGGGGGGAGAGAGCCAGAGACAAAGAAAGGGGAGACAGCCTTACACACAGAGAGGAAGAGATAAAAAGAGAAACAGAAAGGGGAAGAAGAGAAAAAGGGAGTGAGACAAAAGAAACAGAGGTACACAGAGAGAAAAGGAAAGAGTGGGAGAGAGATAAAAAATGGAGACAGAGATAGAGATACAAAAAATAGAGATAGTGAGGGAGAGAGACAGAGATAGAGAGAAAGAGACAGAAAAAAAACAAACAGAAACAGAGCCAGAAAAGGAGGGACAAAGGGAGGGAGGGAGAGACATAGGTAGATATTGAGGTAGATAGATAGCAGGGGAGGGATAAAACCAGGAAACAAAGAAAGATATAGAGACATAGAGATGGGGTGGGGGAGTGAGAGACAGATGAAGAGAGGGGGGTGGAGATAGAGGCAGAGAAAGAGAGAGGCAGAAATAAAGATGAAGATACAGAGAGGGGGACAGGGAGACATACTAAGACCAAGAAGGTGGATAATGTGTACATCGTCCAGAATGCAAACAAAAGCAAATGCTAAAATAAAACAAAAGAAAAAAAGAATAGCAGCAAAGGAACAAAACCCTGGTGTTGCTTGGAAAGCTGGGGCAATTGTCTAAGTCACTGAGGAGAGAGTTCTTCTGAGCACAAACTCAGCCTGGTGCCCAGACGTCTTTAGACACAGATACACAAGGCACCTACACACTCACACTGACACACAGCCTACTGCAATGGAGACCCGTGGACAGCAACCAGCTCACACATAGGGACATCGCGCCTACATACACACACACACACACACACACACACACACACACACAGAGGGCGTACCATGTACGCTGCCTTAGTCGCACAGGTACAGTGTACCCGGCCTAAACGCCAGTGCTTCCTCCTCAATTGAGGCATTACTGCCCCCTAGGGGACATTTTCGAAATTTGTAGGTGCATTTTTGGTTGTCACCATGCTGGGGTGTAGGGTGTCATTCTAACATTTAGGGGTCCCAGGTGAGGATACTGGCGATCCAACAATGTGTGGGGCAGTCCCACAAGCCAACATATTGTCCCGTATCCCCTAGGACTTTGGATTTGTAAGGAACTGAACCTAGAATCTACCTCTATTTCAGAGATAAACACAATTTCCCTCATTTTTAATATACAGTAGGTCCTCGAATAAGGTTTCATTCAATGTTGTATGGTTATAATGTTGACGAGATGCATTTAGGAACTTAAATCTTGTTTACATCAGTCAGCTTGTGGTAAAACTGGTTTTGTTATACGTCATTTTGCCACAATTTCAAGAACCCATTGATGATGTTAAGCGAGGATTTACTACACTCGGAATTATCCAGGAGTGTGGCTAAGTTCACAGGAGACTGTATTTTGTTTTGTGGAGTACTTTCCTTGAGCTGTTTGATATTTCAGAAAAATCTTAGCCCTAAGCCTTTGCCTGTCATCTTCCTGCAGTTTTTACAAGGGGCAGCTTCTGATTTCCCCCTTCTCCGTAATCCACGTAATCAGTGTAAGATGTTACATACCTCTAACTACTTCTTTGAATCTCCTGGGGAGGGTTATGGCCAAGCACTTACGTATTGAAATACAAATTATTTTCTTATAAACCACTTTCTTTTTATTTCTTATTTATTTGTACTAGAGTTAATACAATATGCCTATTGTATAAAATACTATATGGATTTTCTTTTGAAATTGTATGTGGAGAAAGATTATATTATTTAAGAACTTCGTGTACAGATAGTAAAGAGGTATTGCAAAATGTTACATAAAAGAGGGTGTTGGGTATAAGAGGGCTGAGAATTACATACACAGTCAGACACACACACATATACTTGTGCAATGGTTCATAAACCCACAATTATAACCCCCCAATACACACTCGTGAACTCTCAAATCCTGACAGATACACACCTGTAAACCTACTCACTGTCACACATAGACTCATATTTCCCCTTTGTATCAATGATTTGAATGCTTATTCAAATC